CGGCAAGAAGATGTTTTGGAAAAAGTTGTCGTTTTGAACATCTGTATGCTATTATAAGGAGCAGATAAATGTTATTTACATAGGAAAATGTGATTGTCGGCTTTCGAATGAGATCAAAATCTAGGCAACAAAAAACAAAGCCATCAGCTAATTGTGCAAAAGAAAAGTTCCTGGTCAACCTAGTAAAAAGCTCTTCTATGAATACTGCCCTTCTTGGCAAAAACCACTCACACTCACACGTAAACATTGAGCCTTCATGCCCGTAGGCGCAATAGCCACCAATTCACTCATAAATGAACCATTTGAAAACAATTGAAATTGACGAACCATTCATCCTCTCAACTTTTGCTACCACTCCGGTGGCAACAGAATGGTTGCGCAAGGAACAACGTGCCTCCGTGACGGATTTTCTCCAACTTAGCACAACCAGCTTGCAGGGATTCCGAGTGAAGCGACCACATAAGATCCAAACTGCAGTTTCAAATTAAGATAATGGCATGTGGAGAATTAAAATAAAATCCGAGTAGCAGTATACCTCCGGTAAGTAACTACTAGTGTTGGATGTCGCAGTGTCATAAAATGAGCGATTCTTTCGAGATGACCAATTCGCGAATCGACGGCTTTCACAACGTGACGAGTCCATTCACTATGTTCCAGCAATGCGTCCAGATACTAAAAGTGAGCTACACTTATATAGTCATTTCTATAAAATATTGTGGATGCGAATCTTGGAATGAAATCGATTTTAGCCAAAAACAACCCGCACATGTGAAGAAGAGTCCGCTGCGCGATATTTTGCTCAACATGATAGGCAATTACCGACGTCGCCTACACGGACACCGCTGGTCGGGTGGGATTCATTTTGACTGACATCAGTACTTCGGAGGCAAATGTTACCCACACCATAAATCGATATCTGGAGTATCGATGAGGACCCTTTCTGCTTCATTTCAATATTAATAGCAACGCAGATAATTCTGCCTGTCGTTATAACAGAGCCGGTAAATTAAAGTTGCAGAGTTGAGCTTGCGCTATGCAGTTGTTTCAGACGCAATCTGAAGCGTTACTTCTACATTTTTTGACTTGCACTTTCAGCTGACTCTTCCCGTTCAAACATTGCTGCCTAAGCGGTTTTCGAGGCAGGAAGAAAAACAAACCACTGAGAAATGCCTCGAACATCCGAAAACCTATGCGGACCGACACGCAATTCGCAGCGACGGATATACCCGGCTAACATACCCGTCTCCGCGCCGCTATCGCCACTGCCCGCCCACTCCTCGTCATACGGCTGCAAACGCATAGCAAAGAGAGCGTCAGCGGTAGACGTATGAGGTAAGCACCAATGAGACATACCTAACGCGCAAATCAACAGGCAAAAAAGGTTCTAGGTTGTTTTTTCGTTTAAATCAACTAGCAAAAAGGGCCTTTTTTTCTGCATCACCAGCATCATTGTTCTCCTGCACCTTGATTTCTAGTGGGCTGTTTTTCAATCGCAAATCGTAAAATCCACTTAATCCAGATGAACAAATACCACATCAACTGCAATAATCAGCACCCTTGTTTCTGCAACTCATCGTTCTCTCTAGAAACCTTTAATACGATGATGATCTTTTTCCCCAAAGTTTTTGTTGTCTCGATACGACTTTTTTCTCAATGATATCATGCCAAAAAAGCCATGCTAAACAATGGCACAACCAATCCTCAGCGAGCAATGACTTCCTTACCCAAGAATTTTATTCAAGGCGTGATCTCCACACGTTTCCCTTTGCACTCGAAAAAAAGGTTATGTCACAAATCCAGATGGATCACAAACCTTCAAGGCATCTCTCAACGCGGCATTTGTGATCGATCGATCCACAACACTTAGTTCCGCAAGTGATGGATGAAAACGAACCTGTATTTACAAAGTCAGTGATACTGGTATGAAAAAATTGGCCCTAAAACCAAGCATTGAACCCAACAGAGCCAGGCGTTTGCAGATAAATTTGCTTAACCGAACCTTCTAACAGCTATCTGAAGAGAGTTTGGTTCATAAGGCCGTAATTGATTATCTCATCAATAGATTAACCTATCCATTAACCTATTATACCTATTAACCAGAACATCCAAATTTTGCACTAGAAATTGCACTTGGTAACATATTTATAATACAATTTTGTTAGGCAAAATTTTTTGGGAAACATTTCATGAATCATTAAGAATAAATTATGATTGCAAGTCATCAGCATTCTCTAAGATAAAACCCGTAGAAAATTAGATTCAGGAAAATGCCACTCACTTTAGTACTCGCGCCCTTTCTCGCGAGCTGCAAAAAGTTTGCACTTCTGCAACGATTCGAGCGCTCAAACTTAATTACAAACGCATTTGATTTTCTACTACAGCCTGTAACTGAAACCCGCCAATTTTTTCCGATTCTCTCTATCAAGCATAACTGAGAAAGCAACTTCTGAAATGATCGATGAAAATAATTTTCTGATTCTATGAATTGGGCAAACGCCTGACGCTGCGCATCTGTTTTTCGAAATCCGGAAATTAACAATAAAACGTAAAATACCCGCTACTCGGCTCTCCAACGCTTTCAACGAAATAATGCACCTTCACCGATTTCGCCTTCTTGCTGTCCAAACCAACCACATCACATGGAACAGCCCAACCAACGCCCGGTACACGCCGAGGTTCTCCGATCAGTTGATCAAAGTCCACAGCAACGGGCATGATGCGATTTCGAATTTTCCTGCAAAAACGGGTCAATTTGCTATTGAAACTCCAAAAATTATGTATCCACAACGATCCCTTGTGTGACTTTTCGTAACCTGTGCAATGTTTACTGTTAGATTTGTTTCGGACTGAGAGAGCGAAGAGAACGAAGAGTCACGGAAGGGAACGACAGCACAATGAAGAGGACGTAGACAGTAGGCAAACTTTCGACGTGAGGAAAAAACAATGAAGCCCTCTCACGAGGGCCGACCTCATTCTTCTATGACACTTCCCCCACGATCAGATAGACAGCGCTTGTAAAAAAAACCCTCCAACCGTACCAATTGAAACGATGAAATTTTCGTGCCGCCAAAAATTTTGTTTTTAATTTAAAATATTCCAGAGGTCTACAGCAGATTATTTATTACTGCCAAATATTTACTTTATTTACTTAAAGTTATTTACTGCCAAATAACTGCCTATCAGTCAGGTTACTGAAATAAAATGAATTCCTTTTTCAGCATTCCCTGCATAAATTTATTAACATCCGTTATTTCATGAAATGATGTTCATACTTCAGGGAGAAATTGGGCCTTACTCGTTTCTTAGCCATTCAGATAGAATTCCTGGACAATGCCAGAAAACCAATTGTCCGGCAATCTCTACGAATGCTCAGTGAGTCGTAACACGAGCATGTGCTTTCTAGCGTGCAAAAACTAAGTTGTAAGAACAAATGCTCATAACTTACTGATGATTTAGTTGTGCAACGATTTTCCCTTTTTCAAGTACATCGTTGGAACGCATTTCTTCGGACGGCTGTAAATAACATTCTAAACGACCGTCGAGTTTCGATGGAAGTATAAAAAATGAGATAAGAAGTAAACCGGATGTTATACACTATCGTCCATAGAGAGCACTGTTCAAAACATTCAATAAATTACAGCCAAAGACCAGATAAGGAAAAGTGTCGAGCGAAACAGCGAAAAGTAGCCTGCGAAACTGGGGAGGGTAAAAATGAACACGAATGTTAACTAATCTTAGAAGACGTTGATGAGTTGCAGCTCATCAAGTCAAAGCATCGCAATAATTAAAGATTCAGATTCCAAGACCGATAACAGTGTTCCAGAAAGACTTCAAGACTAGCCACTGGTTAAGACGGCTGTACATTCTAGCGAGAACACCGCTGACCACCTGCAGCTGTCTGGCCGTAAACCTGCCAGACCCTAGACGACGAACGCTATTCGCATTGTCTTGGAACAACTATCGTGTTCGTGCTGGAAATCTTCGGACAAAACATGCATGATAAATGAGAAGCTGTCCCCAGACGACGGTGGTAGAATTTTTCATATCGACAAAGGAAGTTGTCAAGGAAGGAATAAATAAAAATCACGTCATTCGTTTGATAAACATCTACATAAATTCTACAGTAGAAACCTGTCAAAAATTTAACGCAGCCAGTCTCAAACATGCCCTGCAACCATTATTTGGGACCCGGACTCTCCGCAACAACGAGACCTACGTCAAACACAACATTTGCCTCTAAAAACTGCCCGGTTACTGTGCTGTAGCTGCTATATTACTCGAAGAAAGCCGAAAAGCTCCAATACCTATTCATCCTTTTCGGACTTTAAAAAAAATTCGGGAAACGACAAGTAACCCATCAAAAACGACCACCTTCCTCTACACCAGTAACCTCAACTTCCTCACCATCCTGCTCGGGGCAGGGTGCTGAAGTTGAGTCTAGTGTAGAGGAAGTGGTTCCGCTTCTCTCAAGAACACATACGCCCTCTCCCCTCGTTTTTTGGCTCAAGTAAGTAGAAACCGTTCGCACTGAAATTTACTAATGTTTTAAACCCTTTCACCTTCACACAGTAGCTTCTTTTTTGCTTAACTTAATCATCATTTTCCAATTTTGTCCATTTACATTACCATATTTGGAACATATGCACTTGAGATAGAAGGATTGTCGAAAGGGTAACAAATTCCGACTATTTTGCAAAATTAGGAGTTATACGTAAACGAGACATTGAATCAAATTTATTACAAAAATCAAGGTTAAGAATTGGAAATGGACTGCAAGAATTAGAAGTACACAGCTTCTTTGGGAAAACTTGTCTTGATTTTCTCTGTACGGATTAGAAAAAAAAATCTCACTGAGCTCATATGGCTAATCGTGCTGTGCAACGAAATGATCGCCCTTTGAATGAGCCAATTTGCATTTCTCGCTGACGTCGTGGACACCTTTGGTCGTCGGAGGGTGAGCGTCAGACGACAGAGTCAACACATGTGGTTCGTAGTGGGCATTGTAGTATAAAACTATGATGAATGTCACGCGAAGAACAAAAATATGTCAGATCACTCTGCGTCTCTCACCACCTTCAAAGGTTCCTTTAAAAACGGTAGAAGTGAACAGATACGGTACAAGTGCGTTTAATACTCGAATTCAGCACTGCTGCTTACCGGTACGGCAATCACAATGATAATCGATATCGACAAATTCAGGGCTAGCAGCGGTAAACAACGAGAAAACACTATTGGAAAGCAACAGCAAGCTCGAAATTTTTAATAAACGGCGAGGGTGGTACAGCTCATAGTCGCTATTCCAATGCAGGCATTAAATACACTCCGCATACATGGTTTCATAACTAACTGCGCTTTCGCAATGTTTCAAGCCATCTGTGGACGAATACACACAAGAAAAACGGAGTCTAAAAATAGAAGCTATTGCAGATCGAACACCACAACACAAAATGAACATATACAGCAGAGCAGATACTTATTGTTACTTCTGGGGCCGTATCCTACCCTTCCCCTAGGCTAGGGGAACAGAAAACCCTTTTAAATTTTCTTTGTCTTTCCAACAAGAATCGCCCTGGAAAGATGCATACTTTTAATGTATATATGTGTAAAAAAGCAAACGAGTGCGGAAAGTGGGGGAAATTGCATTTGAAAACAAATGAATTCAGAAGACTCTTTGTTCCCTTAGCGTGGGAGAAGGATAGGATATGGCCCCAGAACAAAATACGCAATTTTGACGTCAAGCATGAGTCCTGGCGCGAGTGCCTGAACCGTCAGACAACCACGGTTGGCGGAATAGGCATAACGTCTAAAGAGAAGTTGCACATTTTGAGAAGCGAAGTCCACTGCATAGAGCACGCGTGCTAGTATAACATACAGTTAAATTGAGAGACTGTTCACCTTGGGAGCAGGAAGACATGCCGGCATTTAGTGTAGAGCCACAATAGTTGAGACAAGCGAAATACATTTTAGCGATGAAGAATGACTAGAGAGACTAATGCCGTAACGAGCTTCGAGTGAGAAGAAATAGGCCAGTTGAGCCAGGAGGATGCGGATTTTTGGAGAAAAACATCTCTCGAGGGAACAAATGTATTTTTAAGCCTAGGGATCACGAAATTTGTTCACCCATCACCGTGTTCCTTCCTCGGAAAATCTTCATCCACTAGGATACGATTGTCACTTCGTACCACCAAGCACTACCAAAGAAAATGCAGCGTAAAAACTTGGAGAACTAGTGGAGGAATGAGGCTCACAGCGCGTCGTGGGTTAGACACACCTATGATCGCGTGGCGCGTATGCGCGTCATCTCACGGATGGTACCCATTTTCCTGTACGTGTTTGGCTTTCATATCCAAGGCTGTCACGTCTACATTATCAAATTAGCAAAAGCACTATCCGGTTTGACTGACGGAATATTGCAAACGAACATGGCCGAGGAGCGAAAATATACATTAGAAGCCATAATACGCGATAGGAAGCTGTCGCTAATGTGTCAAAGGACAAGTATGGGCCACCAAAAAAACACGTACGGCTTTTTGCGGTAAAACAGAGTGCAAAGAACTTACGTCTAGAGAAAAAACTATAATGAAAATGAGGCGGAAGCAGAAGAAAATTTCTGAATTCTAATGAACTGCTCAAATACCAGAGTGAGATTCTTCGGTAAACAATTCCAGTGCTTTAACCCTTTGACGACCGCCCTTGTGAATGCGTCACTTCACTTCTTTCTAAATTTTTTCATCAATAATCATTAACTTTCCAACAATTTCACTATTAGTAATTAGCGCATTATTCCGCGAATTCGATGATGTATTTGTGTAGTTTTGAAACATAAAAAATGCCAAAATAAACCCCTAAAAACGTGTCGCCACCGAGCGAAAGTGTGGCCCACCGGCGGGCCACACGGTCGTCAAAGGGCCGTTATTAAATGACAAACTGGCCGTGAATAAACAGATTCCAATTCAGAATCAGTGATCGAGGCGTACATTGAAGCGAGACTTTTGAAGCAAACAGAAATTAGCTGGATTGGAAAATCGCCAGGCTCAGACCAAAAGCGGCATTCGGCGTCTCTTCTCCAAGAAGAGAGCGCATGCAGCTAGAGGCGCGCAACGATTTTTGAAACCGAGGACGGCGTATTCTTCCCGTGAAAAGTTTAGGACTAAATCTTAGAAGGAAGGGAAACCCCATAAGTTCGTGAGCATTATTCGCTTTCTCCGGGAATTCGCCCCCTCCTCCCCACCGGGGTAAATAGAACTCAACACTGACATTAGAGCAGACTGTGCACCGCAATGCCCCCTCCCTTACCGGAAGACCCGCAGATTTCTTTGATGGGACAGCCTGCCTGTCACCAATTGCTTATCGAACGACCATATAGCTTTCAATTAAAAAGCGCTCTTTCAATTGAAAGCGTCATAAAGAACGACTTCACTAACTCAACTGGAACCGCATAGTGAAGTATTAGACGGCAAAGTGGTCACAGGGTCGACTATTTATCGAGAAGGGTCAACGACAGCGATGAGAGTGTCCCCGCGCCAATCGGGCGCCGCCACGTCTGCCCCGTTCTCGATCGTTCTAGAACAAGCTGAACCCCGACGCAGCAAAAGGATGCAACGACCAAGTGGCTTCCCCAAACACTATGAGACGACCTTCGAAAAACGGTACCCAATCAAAAACGAGTTTGAGGGGGAAACATTGGTGCCAATGACCACCACAAACTAGTTGTC